GAATATGAAAAGGAATATATATGTATAAATAAATCTGTATGCAGTACACCAGAAATTAACACATTGTAAATCGACTATACTTCAATTAAAAAGTTTTTTTAAAAGAACAAAAACTTTAAGGCAACCACTAAAAAGTTTTTTTCAAGTATCAATTGCTACACTAACAGAAGAGACAGAAACTGAATTCTATAAAATGCTCAATTAAAACCAGAAAAGGGAAGAACAAGAAACCTTTGGTAATAAGCAAAAAACAGTTGCAAACATACATGGTATTAACCCAAATATACTAATAATTACTTAAATGTGAATGGTCTAAACACAACAATTAAAAGATTGCCATACTAGAAACAAAGTAAGACCCAATTATGTATCGTCTACAAGAAAACCACTTTCTAAAAATAGACTGAAAGGATAAAGGTAAAGGGATAGAGAAAGACGTACCATGCTACCACTAATTTAAAAAAAATGTTGGAGTAGCTTTGTTCATTTCAGATGAAGAAAATTTCAGAACAAGAGAAAATATCAGGGATAAAAAGAGGAACTACATAACAATAAAAGGATTAATTCCCTAAGAAGATGTACCATTCCTAAATATGTGTGTACCTAACAATAAAACATCAAAATACACGAAACAAAACCTGATAGAACTGGAAGGATAAAGCGAGAAATCCACTACTATAGTTGGCCACTTCAGCCCCTGCCACCCACCATCAGTAACTGCTAGATCAAGTAGGCAGAAAAACCAGTAAGGATATAGCTGAGTCGAATGGTACTGTCAATCAACATAATCTAATTGACAGCTATAGAAGACTACCCAACAACAGCAAAATACACATTCTTCTCAAGCTTGCATGGAACATTCACCAAGATAGACCTCATTCTGGGCCATATAACCTACTTTAACAAATTTAAAAGAATAAGTCATACAAAGTATGTTCTCAGACCACAATGAAATTAAACTAGAAATCAGCAACAGAAAGATAGCTGGAAAAATTGTCACATATTTGGAAGTTAAACAGCATACTTCTGAATATCACATGGGTCACAAGAGTCTCAAGAGAAATTGTAAAATATTTATAACTAAAGTAAAATTAAAGTACAACTTAGCAAAATTTGTGGGATGTGGCAAAAACAGGGCTTCAAAGGAAGTTTATACCTTTACATGCATATATTAGAAAAGAAAAAATACCCAAAATCAATAATCTAAGCTTCCACCCTGGGAAACTAGAGATGTAAGAGCAATTTATGCCTACAGCAAGTAGAAGACAACAAGTAATAAAAATTAGAGCAGGGGGAGGGTATAGCTCAGTGGTAGAGCAGGTGCCTAGCATGCAGAAGGTCCTGAGTTGAAATCCCCAGTGCCTCCATTCAAATAAATTAATTAAATTTAAAAATCTAATTACCTTCCCCACCCCTCAAAAAAGACATTAAAAAATTAGAGCAGAAGTCAATGAAATTGAAAATAGGAAAACAGATAAAAATCAACAAAACTAAAAGCTGGTTCTTCGAAAAAAATTTTTAAACTGATAACCCCCTGGCCAAACTGACCAAGAAAAAAAGAGAGAAGACACAAGTTACCAGTATTAGGAATCTACAGACATAAAAGGAAATTTAGGAATACTGTGAACAACTGTATGTCCACAAATTTAATGATTTAGATTAAATGAACCAATTCCTTGAAACATACAAACTACCAAAACTCAAACAAGGAGAAATAGATATAGGGCTATTTAGATTCATCATTAAAGCAAGTGAATGAATAAAATAACCTTCCAAAAAAGAAATCACTAAGCCCAAATGGTTTCACTGGTAATTCTACCCAACATTTGAGGAAGAAATTATACCAGTATTTCCCAATCTTTCCTAGAAAGCAGAGGGAACACTTCCTAACTCATTCTATGAGGCCATCATTACCCTTGTAACAAAACAAGATGACATTACAAGAAAGCTACGAACCAGTATCTCTCATTAACATACCTGCAGAAATCCTCAACAAACTATTAGTGAATGAAATCCAAAAATAACTATGCGCCGCATTCAAGTGTGATTTATGCCAGATGTGCAAGACTGGTTCAATATTCAAAAGAAATCAACCTAACCCATTACATGAGCCTGGTGTATTTCATAGTGCCAACATATTAAAAAGTGCTCAAAAACAAAAACAAACTCCACACAGTCCCAACAACGAACTAGAACAATCTGAGCAAAAAAATAAAGTAGTCCTTGATTTATAACCCCAACTGTAATAGAAACATCTATGAATCTACACTGATATGAATAAATGATTTAATAAATAAATGGGGAATAATATACCGAGGAGAAGAGTTCCAAATAGTTTATGTAGATATACTGCCCTTAAGGAAGTGGACGATAACTCCTCACTCTTTAAGTGTGTGTTACTCATGATGACTTTCTTCCAAAGAGGATAACATGGAAAGAGGGAGAAAAGGGTACCTTTACAATGGAGAAAGCTGACTGTCACTCCCTTAGCCAGGTGGTCAACGTCACCATTAGCAGTGATCAGTCACATTGAGAGTATGTACTTGCGACATAATGTGATGAAAACGGCACTTCACCTCTGTGATCTTCCATCCAAAACCACATTAACCCACTATAATCATGATAAAAACATCAAAGAAACTCAAATTGAGGAACAGTCTCCAAAATACCTGACCAATAACCCTAAACATTGGCAAGCTCACCAAAAATAAGGAAAGTCTGGAAAACCCTGACAACCTAGAGGAGGCTAAGGAGACATAGCAAGTAAACGTAATGTGCCATCCTGGAAGGGATCCTGGAACAGAAGATGGACATTAGAGAAAAACTGAGGGAATCTGAATAAAATGTTGGAATTCAGTTAATCATCATGTATTAATGGTTTATTAATGGACAATGTACCCTATTAGTGTAAGATGTTAGCAGGTAAAACTGGATTTGGATATGTGAGAACTCTCTGCAATCTTTAATCTCTATCTTTGCAATAATTCTGTAAATCTGAAACGGCTCTAAAATTAAAAGTTTACCTTAAAAATGACCACTGCGGTTTTAAAATTACCATAGCATGCCAAAAGATTTTTCAGGGTGAGCAACACAGGCAGAACCATCTGTCCTGGTCCCCTCTCCTAATGTTCGTGTACACAGACACATTTGCCCAGCTGAGCAATTCGTGTATCAGCCCCACATTAATAGACACCGCTTCACCAGCTGTTTCAATTTCTAAGAAAATAGATCAGTTCAACTTGTAGACATCCCAGACAGGCACCACACTCACACCTGTGCACACACACACGTGCTGCACTTGTATGTGCCAGATTGACAGATGATTAAGTGATCATTATCCGGTTATGAAAAATTAAAATAGAAGGATAACAGACAAAACCTGACTATTCTGTTCTACCTTTGAATTGTACTGCTTTGGGCCAAGCACTGTTACAGCACACCTTGGTTCGCGCGCTTTCCTTTCCCTGCGATTCCTACTAGGCTGCTTACTGATGGACAGTCTGGCCCAAGCAAGGGAGAGACAAGAGAAGCCTCAGGAGAGGGAAAACCCAGAACCTGAGTCCAAGCCCCGAAATAATTAGCTATAGAGGCTCCACTGCCTCTCTGTCATCTGACTGTTAAGTGAGAATCCTGTTCTTCATCACAAATTTCCTTCTGTCTTGGCTTCGCGTTTTACAAACGACTGGCACTTTTAAACTATGAGAATGGTTTACCTTTCTGGCTGAACAGTCTCTCAAAAATCATTTTATTAGGGGGAAAAAACAGGGCCAGCAGCTCAGTGAGTTCTCTCTTGGCAGCATATCTTTTTATTTTTGAATTTCATTGTGACTTGTTTGCTTGTCCCTCTGCCACCGTCTAGTCTAACATCCTAATAACAGCCTGTAACTTGTAATTTGGATTTTCAAAGCTGTATTTTTCAGGCATGTTCTTTCTGTCCAAATCAAAGACACCATTTTAGTGTCAGACGGACAGACAATGAGAGAAAACATGAGCGGGCACGTACATATACACACATTCACACGCATGCACACACACGCACACAATTTCCAGTCAAAGTCTTGCCTGAGTTGTAGCTCAAATATTTTTTGTTTTTCTCTTTCCTCTGTTTCTGAGCATCTAGCTTCCTGGGCTATAAAGGAAGTTTGGGGTTTGGGTTATTTTTATTATTCAATGACCTTAAGTAGAGTTCGGACCATTATATTTTTAAATCAATATTGAAGATTCTCCTATCAAAGATACAGAGATTTTTGCAAATAAAAGCATTCTGACCTTCAAGAACATTTAATTTAAGCACGCAAGCATCTTGTATTATTGCTTGAGTCTTTATATTTTGAACTTTCTTCATCTGTTCTGTGCTCTATGTCAATAGTGATTAAGTTAGTAAAACTTACTGTGCTCAGACTGTCTTCCAATATGAAGAAGAATTTTTTTTTACATATCTCCACCCAGTTACTTCTTCCCACAAATGTTCCCGCCTCTTAAATAGAAATATTGTTTACAGACACCTCCAAGGGAAATTTAGTGTATCTTTTCAACTGCTGATATTCTAGAGCTGTAAGTGACTAAAAATAATTAGCCCAACACTTCATTTTAAATATAAATAATAATTTGTAAAAACAAGAAGCTATCATTATTAGCTAACACATGCCATGGTATAGCTTATCTTATTCTTTAAGTTTGTGACTCTGCTCAAATTCAGATACTTACACGAGGCAACATAATCGATAAGATTCCTACTAACAATGGAGTTATACTATTTTTAATACATGATTATGTACCAAGAAATGACAATTAGCAAATTAAACAATTGTGCTGTTATAAGAATTAAATACCCTAATTTAGTTGTTCCATTAATTTTTACCTTAATTTCTAGCTGATGCTAGTGACTAGAAAGTAAAGTTACTTGGTTATCACAAATATACTTAAATTTACATTTCACAAGTTTCACTCATCATAAACTATATTCTTTAGGTGAATATATGTACACATTTTTATCTTACCTTGATCCAAAAAGGACTTCAAGCCATTTACAGACGTTCCTGTAATGTAGCAAAATAAAATCCCATTAAAATTTTAAAAACATATGAACCAAAAGATAACTCATCACAGGAAACTAATACAAAGCAATTAATAAGGTTGGAACACATTGATGTTCATGCCAAAGGTAGCCCAATACTTTTGGATCTAAGCTTGCCAACTACCAATAGGAATATAGATCCAATTTCAAGTTTTATAGAACGTATGAAGAAAAAATAAACTAGTTGCTCATGAAAAGCACTACTGCTGAGACCAGAAGACAAACTATCTCCCAGTACTGTCTCAGAAAGATCAGAGTTTAATTCTATTCACAGAAATAGCTATATGATAATCAGTGAAAAGTTTCACAGAGCTTTGATTTTTTTTAAACAAATTAATACTAGCTAGGATTCTATTAGGTTGACTATATAATTGATTCCAGTACTCAGTTCTCTGGGTTGTCAATTAGTACACTTCAGAGTTTCTAGCAATGGTACCTAACCAGGGGTGGTAGGGCTTTGGAAGCATGGGACGGCAACTGTTAGTTCTCATAATGATGGGAGGTGGGCATCATTGACATTTGGTGAGCAAGGTCTGGGGATTTTAACATACTACAATGCATAGGAAAGTCACACACAATAAAGAATTCTAATGTCCCAAATGACAACTGCAGCCTCACTGAGAATTACTAAGAGAAATGAATGGATTTCATGTTTTTCAAATAATCCCTCTACAGATACTGTTTCTCTTGGACAAGCTATTAAAAAGTATTGCCTGGCATTGAACTCAAAATTATACTACCTGGCAAGTACTCAAAACATTTTTTAAGCTAATACCTCTGACCATGGCATAAAGTCTTACTTAAATAACAATTTTCCTATGGATGGGTATTTATCCATAAAGAGGCAAGACAATAAAATAGATTTGTTTCTCTTTCCTCTTACAGTAGCCACAAGTCAATGACTGAGAATAGCCATCATGCTATCTGTACTATGTACATATTATATATATTTTGCATATGGGGTTCATACATGAGTAATAGTTCTTTCTGATTCTTGGATAAACCTGGAACTGGTATTTTCATACATGACTTTCTTCATTAGTCTAACACCAAAACCTGGTATAATGATTCTGGCCTTATCTTTCAACCCATACCAAGTTCATTCATAAAAGATCTCTTCATTTCAAATTCCTCAACACCAGGCGGGGCACTCTCATTTGTTTCTATAGTTCTAGTACTATTACTATTACTATTACTATTACTACTACTACTACTACTACTACTACTACTACTACTACTACTACTACTGGCTTTAAAATGTTATTTACTACATTATCAAAACATTTCTTCTGTCTTCAATATGGGGTCTATATCAAAATAAGATATTTTGATGAATAAATCATTATGTTCTTCATTCCAAGAAATTGCCTTTTTTTTTTTTAATTATCACTCCCCACACCCAACCCAGTGGTCAACCCATCATGGCCACCGAAGCTTTGCGGGAATATAACACAGACAAATGCAGAGAATTCAGTCAAATTTTTGGTTTTCAAACTCATGACAGAGAAATCATTTCAAAATTCAAAATGTTTGATAAGCAAGAGCTAGGAATTTTGGAATTCAAAAGGCAAACCTAGAAGAAACAAGATGCAAAGTTTATGCCTGAATCAAAAGAGAATGGAGAAAAAGCCAGATTATTTATTCCAAGGATAAAACAAAGGCTGCCAGGGCAAAGGTAGGAAGAAAGAAACATTACCCAGGAGTAAGGCTGGTTGGAAAGTGGGTAAAAGGACTAGACTTCATGTAACCACAAGGAAAGGAGCTGAATCAGCACTTGAGAAATAGCATGGCCTCTGCTCAAGCAAGAGCCACCCATTACAAGAACCAGGGAGCCATAAAGAAGCTAAGCCAGTCCCCAAAACTGTCCAAGAAAGGCACAGGAGAATCCCCCACTTCACCACTGCACCCAGGAGTTCTAATGATCCCACTGGATGCCAAGCAGCAAGGACCTCCCATTAACAGCAGCCTGTACACCATTCATTGATGAGCAAGAACTAGATAATGCCTGTATCCCAAGAACTGTTTTTGGACCCATCCACATGGACAACTGTCCTATCAGGAACTTAGTTGAATCATCACCCTCCCAGCAAAGGGGGGCTTTGGGCAACCAGAGGCAAAATGGAGACATAAAAATGAGAGAACACAACACTTAAGTTTGCATGGAATTCAATCCAGCCTGAGATCTTTGTTGGGCCCTGCTTTACAATATCCCACAGTTCTGCTGCTACTACTATCATATGTACAACTTACCTGAGTGCCTATTACCTTAATACTACTAAGTATAAGATCAGAAGATTTCAACATGCTTAGAAGTACAGTGTTAAGACATATAAAAATGGAGTTGTTCTGTGGAAGTAGGGCCAGAGGGGCTTCAGAGCCCTTGTTGTTGGGCCTCTTACCACAGCCACCCTCACTGCCAGCTCAAGTGACCCCTGTTATCTTCCTATGAAAACATACTTTGTAATATTCTTCTAGAATTTTCTGGGGAGGATTTGGTTTTGTCTCATAATGGACAATGATACTTCCTAAATGTAAGGCTGCATTCCCACTGCATCAGAATCATCTGGAAAGTATTTGTTTATGTCTTTATTGCCCCTACTCTGAAGACTGTGACCCACAGATCTGAGATAGGATAGAGAAATCTGTTTTGAACAAGCTTCCCAGGTGACACAGACATTCAGATGGGTTTCCAGCCAGCTCAGATAAAGCTCACAGGTGGTGCTGTTAAAATCCTTCAAAGACTCAAATAGCACCAACGCCTCATTGACCTTCTCTGGAGATGCTGACTTAATGCTTTATCTGATCAACTCCCAAGTGACTCTTCAGCCTCCTTGTTGTGATTTATTCGGAAGCTAAGTTTTCAACTAAGGAGCAGACATGATTCCATGTCGTCCTCCACCTATATTTTCAAATTGACTCCACGGTATGTTTCTATCTCATTTTTCATTTCAGTCTGCAGGCAATATACATTTATGTTGCACTGGAACAAAAGGCTTTTTCCTATATCTGTCCCTACATCATCAGTATCCACTGAAGTTTTTGTGAGAGTGAAGATTAGTACAAGGAAGTTCTGTAAATGAAATAATGCTGACGAGCTTCTCTGAAGCCTCCTTTTAATGTGTTTTTTTTTTCAAAGAGGTTATGGTTTGAAGCAGGCTTTGAACTAAATGAACCCATTAATCAGGCACTAAAACGCTGCTACAGCAGTTTAAAACTATATCAATGAAAGTGTATTCTGGAAACCTTTTGCCAAAACTGTCCAGCTTGATTGATTGTTTTATATATACGTGTATCTTTTGTTCCCATAGTGCTGCTGTGTTCCTGAGTATAGGCAATATTTAATGTTCATAGGGCAGAAGAAGAAAAATAACACAACCACAAATATCCAGTCTTTATATGAATGCTCGTATGGTAAACAGTGAAAGGAGATGCATTTAGGCTGCACACACCTCAACCACAATAGCAAAGCAAGTGAAGATTGTCTTTGGCCACTGCTTTTGCTTCTTATTACCCCATCAATCTTTTCCTGCCCCATGGTTCACAACTACCCATCCCAACAAAGGCAATCTCCTGAGTTCAGCATCCTTGCCTTCTAGAAGCTTTCTCCAACCACCTTATCTAAGAGGGCAACCCCCTTCCCTAGCACTGTAGCACTGTCAGTTCTGACAATCTGTTCCATCTTCTTCACAGCACTGATCACCTTTTGTTTAGTGTTGCTCTCCTCCACTGGAATGGAAAATTTGAGAGCAGGACCCCGTCTGTCTTGTCCTCACAAGTTAAGCAGAGCCAAGCTCAGCACATCACAGGCACTCAAGAAATATTTGTTGAACTTAATAGAAGGAACACGAACTACTGAAAATCAATTGGCCAAATATCTGCTCTCCAAAAGGCTAAATAGAAGTTGATTTGCTATTTGAAAATTTGATGAAAAAAAAAAATTCTTAAAATGCTAGAACAGGCATAAAAGAGAAAACAACACACCAGAGGATCCGAAGGAATTTCATATAAACTGAAAAAAAAATCCTACTTGAACTTCTGAAATGTTGTATAAGGAAAAAATACCTTTCTAGTTATTAAATATCTTTGTAAAATTATCAAACTGCTGTATCAGTCTTGGTTTGCAACACTTTGACTAGTCTTCCAAATGCTGCTATAAAGACAAAAATGAAAGCTAGTCAAGTAAAAAAAACTTCACAGAAATCTCCCAAAGCTCTTAGGACCATTCAGAGTCAAATGCAGTGAGTTTCATAAAGATTTAATATGGGGAAGTTAATTTTTAAGTAAACTGATGAATTTGATAAGTTAGGCTAATTGTTCACTTGAAAAATATTGTTATTTAACAAATCAACTATTCCGCCTATTGATTTTAGCTATTTAGCTACAACCTTATTTTGGACCTAGAACTGTATTATTCCCACCTTACAGTGGATGAACCTGAGGTCCACCAGCTTGCCCAAGGACACCCCAGCAGTAAATGGTGGAGCTGGCCTTCAGACTCGTCTTTCAAAATGTGGAGTCTGAGCCTTCAACACCAAGCGGTACTGTCTACCCCCAAGACCCTCAGCAGTCTAGAATTTAATATCTAAGGTTTCAAAACTTCTAGAATACTTCTGTAGGACAGAGATACGTAGTTACTTATAATTTGCATACGGCAGGAATTTGAATCAAGGCTGCTTAGTGAGCACGTATGGCAGGCTGTGGACGTATCTGAATGCTTATGAAGCTATTATTTTCTGCTCAAGGTTACTTGGTCACTCTCAGGAGTCTGAAATTTACTAGGAAAAGTGCATGCTACAGATGAGAGGTATTTACAAATCTGGGCTATGTTCAGCACCTAGTGAAAGTCAACTTCAAGGTCCTCACAGAAATAGAATATACCTTATGATGGCAGCCTTGGGTATTCATGAATTTTCTGCACTTTCCCACACTGGCCTCTTTATTTTTCTGAACAATATGGTAAAC